AAGCTGAGCTACCATGAGCATCGAGAACGGCGCGAGCCTGGCACGCCCGTTCTCGAGGATGCCACTCGCGGCGGAGGCGCGGCGTGCTGCGGCGCAGAGGGGATCGCGCCAGATGGTGGAAAAAGAGCCTATGGCGCGGGCGGACGTCTGGGCGTGCCGCGAGCAGAAGACGCTGGAGATGCCTGCCGACTTCGACGACTGGGCCGATCTGCTGAGGACGAGCATCTGTCACTTGAGGGCTGCGGCTTTACGATTCAGAGCTGGAACGGCAGCGGAGTACGTAGTGAGGTGTTGCCCCATGCGCGCTCTGGGACCTCGGCGACATTGGCGCGCGTGCATTATCGGCGTAGCTCAGTCAGCGCGAGAAGCTGAGTGGGGGGTGGCAGCCCAAGAGGATTCGCACGACCTTGGTGGGTCTCCCAGGGGGCGGGGGCGGTTGCAGGTTGACTGCGCTGGTCGATTCGTTTCTTCGCCTCTGGGCCAAAGCGACGTCCGCGTTGGGCTGGAGGCGGAGGTCGAGCGGCTCAACGGAGGGCGCAGTGTCGCGGTACGTGGAAGGTTATCGGCTGCATTGCGAAGCAGCTCTTGGTGAAGGCGCGGGCTTTGGGCTTTCCGGTCAGGCTCGCGCGGGCTATCGTCGTGCCGCCGCTCGCCCAAGGGGTCGACAGCGCATGGCTCGCTCTCGCGGATCTACTCGGCGCGCCGGGGTGCCCTCGCGGGCGGTTCAATGGCGACGCCGGTGGCGAGCGCGGCCAGGGCGCCCGGGAGGCTGTTTTGCTATGACGTGATCCCGAGGGCCCTCGCGGACGACGCGTGAACTTGCGCGGCGCGCGCGCGGGCGGCGCGGAGACCCGCCGAGAGGGCGTGGCGCGGAGGGCGCGGGGCTCAAGCCGCAGGTGCTGCAGTCTGGGCACGCGGTGCCCTCGAAGCAGAGCCAGGCAGCAGCGGGGCCTTTCGCCGTGCGAACAAGCACACGAAGAACCTGGGCCATGACTTCCCCGACGCGAAGGCGAGGAGGGCTGTGGCCAGGGGCAGGCTTGAGCCAAGCTTAGGCCATGAGACGCGCGGCAAGGCCGCGGCGCGCGGCCGGCAGCAGCGCGGCGCGCCCGCGGCAGACGGGCCCGCTGCCAGCCACTGCGCGCGGCGTGGCAATCAGGGGGGGCGTCGCCTTCTATGCCAGCTGCGCTGCGCTCGAAGGCCGCCGGACTGGGGGGCGCGAAGGGGCGCGGCAGCATCGTCGCGCTTTATTTGGCCAGCCAGGCCAATCCGCAATACGACCCGATCTTCGCGGCGACCATCGAGCCGTTCACGCGGCATGCGCTGGTCATCTCGGGGCGCCGGGCGAGCCTGGGCGAGCCGGGGCGGGCGCGGGGCAAATTTGGGCTGGGTCGAGGAGAGCGTGGAACAGCTGACTTCGGGCGTCGCGCTCGTCGACAAGTTGGCCCGGGCCGACGCTGTTCGCCCTCCCGCCCAAGCGACTTGGCTGGGCGATGAACTCCTCGAGTCTCATTGCGCATGTTTATATTCGAGATCCCCTCGGACAGGGGGCCCAGCGCTGGCAGAGGAGACGCACTGCTGATCACTTTGTTTTTGGGTCGCCCACTCGACCGCCCTTGGCCTGCAGGCTGCGCGCTTGCGCGGAGGGGGGGGCTGTCGCGGTGACTGGGGCGGGTGCCCTGCGCAGCCTTTGGTCAGATTCTCTCAGCGGCCCAAGGCCAGCTCGTTTAAGCGCGGGCGACGCGGTGACCAGACGTGCCGAGCGCGCCCGCGCGAGGCGAAAACATTCGGCCATTCCTTTTTGCAGCGCCCTGCCCCCGTCGAGAGGCAGTTGGAAGAGGCGAAGGGCTGGCCTCGACCCCGAGCTGGCCGCGGCCCGCGATGCCACGCTGGAGCATGGGCCGGTTGGGGGGGGGCCCAGGACGTTGATTCGCGTGCGCTTGCCCTCGGTACCCCGAGATGGCCGAAGTTTGATGCGCCGCCTCCGCCTGAGGAGACGCTCGCACAACGATGTCATTTATGCTGCGGCGCTACGATTGGTCAGCAGCGATTTTGGACGCCGCTCGGAGTTCCCGCTCGCGCCGCGTGCGGCGGGCTCGCAGACGCTCGCCGAGAGGACTGCTGGTCGGCGAGACTTCAGGACAACGCCTTCGATTCGTGTCATCGTGCCTGATATCCGTGAGTTTCTTCGAGAGGATGAGGCCTGCGTGCTGGCGCCGTGGAGAAGTATGTGGATACCAGTGCAGTGTGCCCTGCTAGTCTGGAAGCAGCTCGTGGCTCTGGACCGTGAGCCTCCCGGTGTTGCCTGGTGCCCTGCCCGCATGACGGATGATGAGGTCTTCTCTCCTGCTCCTGAGGCCCTCCCCCTCCTCCGCATGCGCGGCAGGTAGGGATTAGTTGGGCGGCGTACTTCGCCAAGTTAGGGGCCCTGTCTGTGAAGCTCCCTGAAGGAAGCGCTCGGTTCTTTAAGGGTGCCCTCGCTGGAACCCGACAGTATGCTAAGTGCCAGCTTGGGCTGTCCAGCGGAGTTGCGGGTTGGAGCCGTGGGCTGGCACAGCCGCGCTCCCGAGTGTTGTTGCCTCGGCTCGGAGAAGCCTGGGCGCTTGAGGAACATCCGTCTCGCGTTGCACGAGCATGACCTTGTCGAGATGCCTGGCATACCGATCCGTCGAAGGTGCCGCAGGTTTGCGCACGCCGCCGGGTCGAGACGGCAGCCTCTCGGCGGGACGGGCAGGCTGTGCCGCCCCCTGGTGATTTCACGGATGCAAGCTCAGATGTACGAGGCTGGCGCCGGTTCCCCCGCAGGGGCTCCCCCTTGGGGAAGCGGGGCGCGGGGCCTGGCGGGGGCTCTGCGGGTGCCCCGTTCGGCGTGGTTCCCGCTGCCGCGGGGCTCGGGTCGGCCGCGGCAGGCTGCTCGGCGGGGGCGCCTGGGGGGGGGGGGGGGGGGGGGGGCTGTGCCTGCCCTCGGGGGCGAGGCTGGGGTCCCCTTGCTCTGCAGAGGGGGTGCCTGGGACTGCTCCTGCTGGGCCTGTCGGGGCGGGCCCTGGTCCTGCCCGCGAGGGCGGGGCGGGGGTTCCCGTTGGGGGGGTCCCCTGGCCCGCGGGTGCCTGTCGCGAGGCTGTCGTCGGGGAGTATGGCGCACGAGGGCCGCGACGTTTCCGTCACGGGTGCGGTCGTCTGGCGTCCGTCGGCGGTGCGAGGCCTACTGGTCCGTCAGGGTGGGCAGGGTCTGCGTCCAAGGGCAGTTTGGGTTCCAGGTGCGCCTTGCAGTCAGGGTCTCCAGCTGCGTTCTTGAATTTCTCCCAGAGGGTCTCTGGTAGAGCTGGGTCAGTGAGCAGACGCAGTCTTCTTACTATATTTCTGCATGCCTTCCTCTCTTGCTCCACCTCCATCCTTCCTCCTCCTCCTCCTTCCTCCCCCTTCCTCCTTCACCCCCTTTCTTTCTCCTCCCCTCTCCTCCCTCCCCCTGTCCTGCCTCCGTTTTCCCTCCTCTGCCTTCACAATCCTGCATCAATGATCCTTGGGGCATTCCACTATTCAGGAGGGGAAACACACACAGACACCAATCGTCGATTTCCAGGAAAAGATGGGAAAACATGGGAACGGATAAAAAGACGAAGCTCCTGGGAGTTGTGTCTATTTGTTTGTGTGTGTGTGTGTGTGTCATTGGGCCCCTGTAGCTACGTGCTGAAGGCACGGTGGCTGATACATGGATGAGAAGGCTGGGAACCAGGCGCATCCCGAATTTGTGGATAAGCATGTCCTGATCGGGTCTTCCTGGCACAGCTTTGCTGAACCAGCGGGTTCGTCTGGAAGGACATCGCATCATCGTCGCCGGGATCCCTGGCGCACGATATGAGGGGAGGTTCGCGATCAAGTCTGCCTGACACGACTTGTTGGAGAGCTGGACGAATCCCTCTGCCCGCGGCTTTGCTTGTGGAAGGCTCCCGCAAATCGCCCTCGGGAACCCTTGCGCGCGATGAAGGGAAACTCCAGGTCGTGCCCTCGGGACACCCTGACATCTGTCAATCCGCGGCGCCAGGAGTCCCGGCCGCCTTTCCCCAGGGGCAGTTTCTGGTCCCGAATCCAAGCGGTCGTGTCCCGGACCGGCAGTTTCGCGCGGAGGTGTTGGCCACACGGCGCCCCAGGCCCCCTGGCGCGGCGCGGGAAGGGGTGAGGCCCTCGAGCGTGCCCTCCTGGCGTCGCGCCCATGGAAGCAGGGCCTTCGGGCACAGCTCCTGGGGGATAGCCGGACATCGTCATCTCCACCGTGGCGTCACGGTGTCGGTAAAAAGTCGCGCCACTCTTCGATACAATGGGTTTCCCGAGCAACCGCAGAACGGCCCGGCCATTATGGTAATGAGGAGTCGGGGACGAGAAGGAGCGCTTGATCAGGATCAGAAGCACGGTCAGATGAAAAGGAGGCGGACAACGACGTTTGCGAGGACAAAGACGACAAGGAGGAGGAACAGGAGGTGGATACTTGGAAGTGGAGTATGGGATGATGGTGAGGAGGAGGAAAGGCGATGATTCGGAGGAGGAGGAGGAGGAGGAGGATGTGCAGTCGGAGGAGCAGGAGGCTCCATTGGCTGGTGTTGCGCAATTGGCGTTCGAAGGTGGAAAAGTGCCCATATTTGTTTGGAGTAAAAATCCATACAAACATTCAATCGACAACGACTTGTTTTCCTGCGTACAGATATTTACCAGCATTCTGTGAGCGAGACAGTGGAAGGCGGCGGGCGCCCGAGCAGGGCTCATTTCGATTCCTTCGATTCGATTCGACTTCGGTGGCTTCCGATTCCGATTCGAGTCGACTTGGGATTCCGATTTGGGTCCCGATTCCTCACTGGAGACATACTAGCTTGCCGATGTCCGCCGATTCGACTTTTTCCGAGTCGACTTGGCTGCCGATTTTCGCCGATCCGATTCATTTCGGTCGCCGATCCGACTTGTCGATTCGATCCTGGCCTCTCCTGCCCGAGTGCCCGCGTGGGCGCCCCCAGGCCCCGGCACGTGAGGGCCACGGTGGAGGCCGGGCGCAACTTCGCCGCGGCGCCCGCCCGAGCGTCCTCGCGGGAGGCCACAAGCATTGCGGAGGACGATCATTGGGGAGGAAGCAGGTTTTCCAGATGTCTACAGGATGTTTCAATGATGTTTAAACTATGTAGGTGGAGTCTACAGAGTTCGCCGTGCCTCCTAGAGCCCCTGGGACTCCAAGAGGCCGCTGGGTTCCCCGCAGCGCTCCAAACGCTTCGAACCTGAACCCTTCAACTGGGGAAGGTTGAAAAAAAAACCCAAAAAAAGAAAATGATGCTTGAACTATGTAAAACATATGTTTGAAACATGTTCAGAACATGCTTTACACCATCCAAGCACGCCGAGCAGTCCTTGCACGTGGGGCCTGCCAGAGATGGCGAGTAGCAGCACGACGCCCATGATATGCCATGGCCAAGGCGTCGGTGGATGTTGGCGACGCCGATCTTCATCATGGTCCATGCCGGCCGTCGCCGATTCGCGAGGAGTATCCACGGGTCGACGATGGGTAAGGTGGACAGCGGCCTTGGTCGGCACCGACGTTTCTGCGCTCGATCTCGGTCATGGTGATCGTCATCTTCCCCTCCAATAGAGGGCTTGCCCTCGAGCAAGTGGTCGAGAACTTCTTATCCCTTCCTCGGTGGAAGGTGGGGGGAGGCCAGCGGAAGGCGGCGGACATCAGACGGGGGGGGCTCCGCCGCCGAATCGGCAGTGCATCTTCGGGTGGCCTCGAAGGTCCACCAGGCTGAGGCATCGTCCTGCACCTGCCGCGGGCTCGTCGCGGATTCGATGTGGATTCGACGCGGGTTCGGCGTGAGTTCGACGCGCCTTGCAACGGATGGCGACGGGATGGGACAGACAAGGCCCCCCGAATCTGCAAAAGTTCTCACACGCGAGCGCTTGATTTCACCAATCTCAGAGGCCGTCTCCGCCGAGGGGACTTGAACAGAAATGTTATCGGCGCGCGGGGGTGTGTTGCAGTTTTCTCGCAACGTCTGACCTCATTCCCAACCATCCAATGGTGTTGGGTCCTTGTTTTGAAGAGACAGCGCCCCGCGTTCCCTCCTTCCTTCCTTCCTTCCTCCTCCCCATCCTCCCTCCTCTGGTCACCCCCTCACTTGGGTACACCCCTCACACGTTTCGTGGCCCCATTGGGAGCTCCACGGAAGGCCCAAGTGGTACCGCACGCATGCGTCCAACCCCCACCCAGTACAGCGCGTCGTGGCCCCATAGGGAATTCCACCGAAGGTCCAAGTGCTACCGCCCGCATGCGTCCCCCCCACCCAGTCCAGCGCTTCGTGACCATATAGGGAACTCCACTGAAGGTTCCAGTGCTGCCGCCCGCATACGTCACCCCCGCACAGTGCAGCGCTTCGTGGCCCCATGGGGAGCTCCACCGACGGCCCAAGTGCTACCGCCCGCATGCGTCACCCCCAAACAGTACAACGTTTCGTGGCCCCATGGGGAATTCCACCGAAGGTCCCAGTGCTACCGCCCGCATGCGTCCCCCCCACCCAGCACAGCGCTTCGTGGCCCCACAGGGAGCTCCACCGAAGGTCCCAGCGCTACCGCCCGCATGCGTCCCCCCCACCTAGTACAGGCGTCGTGGCCTCATAGGGAGCCCCACCGACGACCCAAGTGCTACCGCCCCCATGCGTCCCCCCCAATCAGTACAGCGCTTCGTGGCTTAATAGGGAGCCCCACCAACGGTTCCAGTGCTACCGCCCGCATGCGTCCCCCCACCCAGTACAGCGTTTCGTGACCCTATAGGGAACTCCACCGAAGGCCTCAGAGGCACTTCCCGCATGCCTCTCCCTCACCCAGTACAGCGCTTCGTGGTCTCATGAGGAGCTCCACCGGCGGCGCCGGTGGATCCTTCCGCATGCGGTTCCCCCACCCAGTACAACGCTTCGTTGCACATAGGGAATTCCGCCGAAGGTCTCAGTGGCACTTTCCGCATGCGTCTCTCCCACCCAGTGCAGCGTTTTGTTGCCCGTAGGGAGCCCCACCGAAGGCGCCAGTGGCAAAGTTCCGCTCCACCCAGGACAACGTTTCGTGGCCCACAGGGAGCGCCACCGAAGGCCCCAGAGGCAAAATTTGCATGCGTCCACCCCCCACCCAGTACAGCGTTTCGTGGTCCATACGGAGCTCCACCGAAGACTGCGGGACTCACAACTGCATGTGGTTGGGCCCTTCGCCAGGCTACTTGTTTTGTTCGCCATGCTCGGCCCCTTGGGGCCTTCGCCGGGTCAGGGGGCCGCAGACATCTGCCCGTATGACTGTTCAATGCGCAGTCCCAGAGCTGCTCACGACCCCTTTCCCTGAGGGCAGCTTTCCGCCCCATGATCCGCTTTTGAGCGTCGCGGGGCGGGCCGAAATCGAGGAACGCCGCCCCGATCGGAGAAATCGCGCCGTCGGAGGTCTGGGGAAGTGGCCGGGACTTCCGGGGAGGAGGAGGAGGAGGAGGGGGAGGAGGAGGAGGAGGAGGAGGAGGAGGAGGAGGAGGAGAGGAGGAGGAGGAGGAGGAGAGGAGGAGGAGGAGGGGGGGGAGGGGAGGAGGAGGAGGAGGAGGAGGAGGAGGGAGGAGGAGGGAGGAGGAGAGGAGGAGGAGGGAGGAGGGAGGAGGAGGAGGGAGGGAGAGGGGCCCTTGCCGCGTGGCAATCAGATCGAGGCGCCGGCGGCCAAGGGCCTCCTGCGGGGGTGCCGAGGCCATGGCCGAGAAGGACCTCGCGCGCGAGGGCACGCCCAACGGCCGCACCACCACCACGCCCCACGTGTCCTCGGCGGGCCCGGCGCCGCCGCCGCCGCCCGGGCCGGCCCCTGCCCGATACCACGTGCCCAGATCTCCGATGCGGCACGATTCTCAGAGAAGGGCTGGCTGATCGGGCGGGGCTGGGGCAAGGATTATATCAGGAGGGAACACACAGACACAGATCATCCATCGTCGACTCCCAGGAACACGTTGGAAATATGGGACGTGGAGGGGGAGACGCAGGTCTTGAGCGAGTTGGAAAGTATGGGGGATCCAAGGAGTTGTGTCTATTCATTTGTGTGTGCCTGGGCTCCTTCAGATAAGTCTGTTCCAGAGCGTTCCGGAACGCCCTCAGAGCGTTCCACATCGCTCTGAGAAGGCCACGGTGCCCGACACATCCTCCAGAACCGCTGGGTCTCAGAGATCCCCCATGTATCCTTATCCGATGTGATGCCTGTCCTGGCTTCGCCTTAAGTTTAGGTAGTTGTACTTGGCCTTCCAGGGGGCCCTCGTCGCCACGGCTGGACGCAGGTTGGGGAACTGATTGGTGCGTTTGGGCCCCTGGCCCGATTTTGAGCCACCGTTGCCTCAACGTGCTCCCCTCTGAGGCAGGGCGTTTGAGCGCGAGGGGCCCGCTTTCTGCGATCTGGCATCTCCGTGCGCCTACTCAGCGTTTCTTGGCCACCCCGAACCGACCCCCGTCGCGGGCAAGCAGAACGTGCCGACAGCGCCGCCCCTCCCCCGGCGCGGCGTGCCGACGTGGCGAGGTGGACCCCCTTGGCGGCGCCTCTGGCGCCGCTCCTGGCGCGCTCCGCGCGCCAGTGAGGGGGGTCCAGCGCCGATCCAAGAGGCCGATTTTTAGGGTCTGGCGATATCCCGGGTTATTGGGCTCCCCCACCCACCTGGAGGAGGAGGAGGAGGAGGAGGAGGAGGAGGAGGAGGAGGAGCAGGAGGAGGAGGAGGAGGAGAAGCAGGAGGAGGAGGAGGAGGAGGAGGAGGAGGAGGAGGAGGAGGAGGATAGGAGGAGAGGAGGAGAGGAGGAGGAGGTGGAGGAGGGAGGAGGAGGAGGAGGCGGAGGAGGAGGAGAAGGAGGAGGAGGAGGAGAGGAGGAGGCGGAGGAGGCGGAGGAGGCGGAGGAGGAGGAGGAGGAGGAGGAGGAGGAGGAGCAAGACGGCCCAAGCGAGGCCCCAGAGCGACCAAGACGGCCCCAAGACGTTCTAACCGCCCTCCCTGGGGCCCAAAATGACGATTTCGCTGGAGACATCATCAAACATCGCAGGTTTCCTCAACATCCTCTTGGAATCGCTCTCGGGAGGCTTCAATATTGCCCAACGTAGGCCAGCAAGACGGCCCAGGCTGCAAGACGGCCCAAGAGCGCTCCAAGACGACCCGAGATGGCCCCAAGACGCTCCAAGACGGCTTAAGAGACCTCAAGACGGTCCTAGAGGGCCCGAAGACGGCCCAAGAGGCCCTCAATATGACTCCCGAGAGGCACTCAGGAGGCCCAAAGTAATTGATTTTCAGTTGGTTTGTGATAGTTGTCTGAATTCTCGTCTTTTCGGGCTTCCGACGGCCCATGACGGCCCAAGACGGCTCCCAGATCGCTCCAAGAGGGGCCGAAGAGGCGCCCAAGAGAGCCCCAATACGGCCCAAAAGGGCCCCAAGACGGCCCAAAAGGGACCCAAGACGGCCCATGACAGCCCCAGGAGGCTTCCAAGAGGTCCACATGAAGGCCCCAAGAGTCCTTCAGGAGGCCCAAGAAAGCCCCAAGAGAGGCCCAATTTGGCCCAAGACCCCCAAGACGGCCCAAGAGAGCCACAAGACGGTCTAAGATGGCCCCAAGAAGACCCGAGAGGCCCTCAAGAGGCCCTCCAAGAGGCCTCGCGGAGGCCAGACACAACGATTGTCCTTACGGTTTTGATTGTTTTCTACGTTCTCGACTTCTCAACCTTCGAGGGCCCAAGACGGACCAAGACGGCTCCCAGATGGCTCCAGGACGCCCCAAGAAGCGCCCAAGAGAGCCTCAGAGTTGCCTAAAGCGGCCCAAGAGAGGCCCAAGACGGCCCCAAATACCCCCAGGATTACCCAAGAGGACCCGAGAGAGCGCCAAGACGGCCCGAGATCGTCCAGCAGCGCTTCAAGAGAGCCCTCAAACCAGCCCCAAGAGGCTCCGAGAAGTTTCAACACAGCTTTGCCAGCGATCGATCGCTCCCTCTCAAAGTAATTGCGCTTTCCGTCCCGTGCTAGGCAGGTGCGGTGGGGCGAAGCCCTAAAGGGAGGGGTCCAGGGGAGGGGGGGTAGCGCGGGCAACCGGTCGTAACATGCCCCTCGCCCCCCATCCGTAGCCAGTTTGGCTCAAGCCATTTTGGCTCAAGTTGTTCCGTTTCAGGGCGTTCAGCCTCAGCCGAGAGTACCACGCCACCCTACCCCACGCTGAGATCGTGGTCTTTGCATACACGCAAATCCACCACGTTAACATCGGTGTTGCTGGCGTGTTGTCTTGGAAATCTGTATATTGCGGGGATCGGGTGCAGATCGCCTGCTCCGAGCTTTTTTTCTACCCTCAGGACGGTACTCCGGCGAAGACAACCCCCTACTTCACGCGAGACAACCATATGCAAAAGCATAATTCGAGATTTGTTGCGGGAGTTGCCGACAGGCTCCCGCGCGCCTTCAGTCGACGAATTCGTTCAGGTCTTCAACGACAGTATTACGAGTGCAGCGCCTAAGTTGGGACCCACATATTTTTCCTGGGCGCAAATGAAGCAAGCTTTCAGAGATGCCCTAGGGGGGCCTTGCTTCTTCTTGCGCTATGTCGGTTCAACGCTGAAGGGGGATGGATCCGGCATCGGTGGTAGTGACTTGGACATCGATATTTATCTAGTGGCCTTCGGCCCATCCGCCACCGTGCCTGGGTGGTGGGTCAGAGGCCCCGTGGATGTTGGTTGCGATCTCGTGGTGGCCTCTTGGGGGCCGGGCCTCTTGGGGGCCCCTTGGGGCCTCTTGGGGGCCTCTTGGGGGCTCCTTGGGGCTTCTTGGGGACCTCTTGGGGGCGCCTTGGGGCATCTTGGGGCCCTCTTGGGGGCCTCTTGGGGTGGGAGGGGGGGGTACTCGAGCTCGGGACCCCCTCGGAGGCCACGATCCTCGCGAGGGGTGTCAAAAAATAGCCTCCCCAGATCCATGCGAGAAGCTGCCGGGTGGATGCCGGGAACCCTAGGGCTCACGCGACAAGCCCAAGAAGATTTGGCAATTTGGGCTCTGGTCCCTTAAAAGAATCCTCAGGAATGAGGACTGAGGCTCAGGGGACGAGGCAGAGGACCTTAGGATACGCCCACTCCGTGCCCAGAGGCACGGTGGCGGATGCTTACCCAGATAGACACGATTTCACGCAGCAGGACCGGGTGGCGATAGTTGAGCATCTTTCTAAGCTGAAGTTCGTGACGGGCCCAGAAGGTCAATCCAAGCCACAGCTCGGCGATTTCGCAATCAAGTTTGCTATTCATGATAACACCCTCGGAGAGAGTATCACCGTCGACCTTGTTGTCAGTCCGCTGTCTAACATGTCAGAAAAACCTGAGGACTTTGTGCGCTTGGTTGGGGGAGGTTCGCGCAGAAAGAACAAAGGGAAACACTTGGAGCTTCTATTCACAAGGCCCCAGTTGTACAAGGCCATCAGCGTCTTCAAAGCCTGCTTCCCCAAGCCGAGGCTCAAGGGTTTTCTGCTCGAGGCGATCTTGATGCGAATCTATTATTTGGAGTTGGAGTTGGCCTGTGAAGCAGAAGCAGAAGATGCCGCTCATCCCGATTACCCTTACCAATGCGAGTACGCGGGTTGTTATTTCTTGATGTTGTTGCGTGAATTGCATGACGAGCTCGCATGCACTGCGTGCTTGCTGGATTTCAAGCGTGACCTGGAAGATCTGCAATATTCGGCTCCAGCCCTCTTCGCTGAAGCAAAGAATGACTATTTGTCAGTGTGCGACAGGATCAACCGCGGAGTGTGGTACGATGACTTGTGCGTGCTCAGAACATTGACCTGTGCACATGGCAAGGGTGATATATTGGAGCCGTGGGAGAAGGGAGAATTAAGGTCGCCCCAAGAATGGTTGCAGCGGAGGAACTAGATTCTCACCTGTTTGCACAACCGTAGCACTTGTGCTTGACTTCTCCAGTTCTGAGCCAGGCATGAGAAGGGGGGAAAATATCACGCCCCTCGCCCCCCAAGACGGTCCAGAAATTATGATTTCGCTCGAGATATCATGAACAAACTGAGGTTTTATCAACACCCTCTTGGGATCGCTCTCGGAAGGCCTCCAGATTGCCCAACATAGCCAAGCAAGACGGCCCAGGATGCCTCCAAGACGGCCCAAGTGCGCTCCAAGAGACGCCCAAGAGAGCCCCAAGACTGTCCAAGAGAGACCCAAGACGGCCCAAGAGGGGCCCAAGAGGGGCCCAAGACGGCCCAAGAGAGCCCAAAGGCGGCCCAAGAGGGGCCCAAGACGGCCCAAGAGGGCCCAAGACGGCCCAAGAGGGGCCCCAGACGGCCCAAGAGAGCCCCAAGATGCCTCCAAGAGGTCCCCAAGAAGGCCCCAAGAGGCTTTCAGGAGTGCTTAGTGACGTAACAAGTCGTTCAACGCCACGGCTCTCAAGAGCAAAGGGTGACTCGAAGACGTAATGTGTTTTGAACGCCAAGGCTGCGATCACGCATGATGGGGTGACCTTTCGCGGGCAAGCTGTTGAACCGCTCTTTCCGTTCCCGTGGCGGCCCAGGTGACGGAAAGAGCGAGGTACGAGTGATGTACGTTCATTGTGGGCGGAGTCTTTAGGGGGCTGCCAGGGGGAGCGTAGTGTGGAGGAACGGGCGTAACACTCCTTCCCTTCCCCAAGACGGCCCAAGTGAGGCTCAGGAGCGGCCAAGAGAGCCCCAAGAGGGTCCAATAGAGGCTCAAGACGGCCTCAGATACCTTCAAGATGGCCCAAGACATTCGCAAGAGAGCCCCAAGACGGCGTAAGAGTGTTCCAAGACGGTCG